TTGTAATCGCTAGAGTCCTGAAATATACTGGAAGGCTTTCAATGGTTTTTGTGACGTTACTGGAAGGGAACAGCACTACCTTCAATACTTTCCAATAGCCGGATGTGAACCACATAATGGACGTAGTCCTAGGATGGATTTGTCCTGGTTGTGGCTCTACTACTGTCGTACTTCTATCTGCCAACCGTAGGGCTCCGCTTGGGGCGGTTTGCGCTGAAGACCATCTGTATGCTTTTATGCTGCCCCCTGAAAACGCTCCTTCGAAGGATTCAAACCTAGTGCGAACGGAAAATGCTTCGCTACCTACCACGCATGAAAAAGTATTTAAGCTTACTTTAAGCTAAAACAGCGAGCAGCTTACTGAACGTAGCGCATGTGCTTTTAGAAGTCTAGATGCTCAGACGCTTAGACGCTTAGGAAGTGCTGTCACTAGCACTCTAAAAATCACCACAATGTAATACTTCACGGTTTAGAACATGGAACGCCAATGCATGGAACGCCTGCAAAACGACTACGATGCCATTCTCAGAGCCCTTCCTCCACTTAAGGGACCGGAAGATCTCTACGCGAGGATCATCAGGGCGCGTCGACAATACTGGGTCTCGTGGAGATCCGTCGACAACTTGGCGATTCGGACGTTAAGGGCCTCAAGAGATCCCTGGCAGGAACGTTACGCTTCATGTCGGGTATTAGTGGAGACGGTCGAAAGGATCGAACTCGAGCTTCTCCTTGTACGTTCACAACTCGTCACTCTTTGGGCCTTACCGAATCTGTTAATTGCAACGCATAGGGTCGAACCGGAAGTATGGAGGATGCTAATTAGTAGACCGCAATTGGACGATGATCGCAACCCACTACTCGTCCACAACCAACTAATGGAAAGGGCGATACTCGATAGATTGGGAATACTCGGAGATCAAGCAGCGAACCTACGAGAATATGGCAACGTACTCGAACTTGAATGCCATCAAAAGGACAGCCAGTCCCGGGACCAGCTACTGGCCGCGTTAGAGTCGATGCGAAACCTCATTTCCGACTTTGTGGCTGTTCCGGGGCCGTGTCTTCACCGAACAGCAGATCGTTAACCAGGAAGACGGAGCCGGAGCGATCAGGATCGACGCGCAATCCATGGAGCAGATGCATGATTCGGATGAGGAAGTGCAAATAGAAGATGACCTAGTAAGCGTGGACGAAGACGCACAGGGGACTGATGAGAGCAGCACCGAAACCAGTCTCGAAGAATCAGACGATGACAACCAGGAGGACGCGGTAGAGAGAAACGACTTCGAAGAAGAACATGCGATACAGCATGAAGGTAGCGACGACGAGGACAACGCGGAAGAAAGATCGAGGATTAAAGGATCAATCCTGAGGAAAATCAGGAAATCCGCCCTCTAGAGCATGGCGAGGTACTCGGAGAAGAAGAACCCGAAATCCGAGACGACGCGCAGGCTGATGAAGATCAACCAATCCAGCAGGCACGTGACGAAGTGACCGAGCTGCTACTGCAGCTACGGCAGGCTAGACAAGCCGTGCGCGATTTCCGACTAATGATGAATGATGTGGAAGAGAGGGAACGATGTCAACTGCGAAGGTACGATGGAACGATCCAAAACCATCACGAGCGGTTCATGCCATGCGCATTCTGCGGACATAGAGGGAACCACTATTCCGACTCGTGCACTGTGCACATGTTCGCGGAAGACCGATGGAAAATAGTGGATCGGAAACAGTTGTGCCTTACGTGCCTCCACTACACCTGTTACAGAGGGCAATGGTGCCGGAAGCGTAACGCAAGGTGCTTTTACTGCAACCAGACAGGGCACCATTCGGCTCTATGTACCCTTCCGGAAATGAGTGCGCGTATCGAAGACGAGCTGGAAACATTACGGCGACGACATGGCGACGCCCAAGACCGCGTCCACCGGCTGATATACAGACTCGAGAGGCGAGGAGTGGACTTGTAACACCTACAAGCATGGCGCGGCCGGGAATATCGCGGCAAGCCGCGAGTTGTTGAGATTTGGGCGAGACGAGGAAAAAGTGTATTCTATATACATATATGTTAGTGACATCACTGTTATCATGAAACAGCTGTAATTTCTTTAACGCAGAAAAGGCTCCAATGGAATCAGAAGAATGTCGAAAAGGACCATGCAGCTGGGCTCTTCCTCGGTATGCCGGAGAAAAACACCAGCTGCACTCTACATATGTATAAGCGCTCAAGCCAGACCATCGGTCGTCGAACTGTACTCTATCTCTTTTCATTCATGATTTGTAACTTGTGTCTCTCAACAATGAAAACTCATTTATCGGTTTAATTACCCAAGTTTGAGTTTCGAGTTCCACGGTGCAATAAATTGGTGATACTCTATCGTGTTATCGTGTTGGCGCAAGGAAATCGACTATTTGAGTTATACACTGAACCACCACAAGAAGACTAAGAGACTTTCCTGATATTACGACAGTTCACTCCCTTAAAATGATGTCATTATTGTCCGACATTCATCGATTCGAAACAGGTCTTTAATATACTCTCGAGGCAGGAGCGGTAATTGGAGCCCTGGGCAACCAGAGGGTATCCATCCATTACAAAAGAATGCTTCCTGAGCTCTACGACAACTTCACGATCGGGATTCCGTCGTTCTATAAGGAAATCATTGTCATCTCACACGGAATCGGTTCGGTAGAGGCGATATTATCCTTTTTAGTGCCGCTCTCAAATATATCATGCGTCATTTGGAATGGGAAGACTTGGAAATGAAGGTCGACGGCCGCTACATACTTTCGCAGACGACATTGTTCTTATTAGCATCGTGCAGGCGTGACGAACGGCGTCGGCGCTTGGTGAGAGATTGGCCCAAGTTTGAAGCATTCAGGAATGTTGAAGGAATAGTTAAAGAGACAAAAACACTCTCCCCGGTTATATTTTTGTCGCTGCTGTCCTTTCTGCTTTTACGCACCCTCAGAGAATTAGATGCTACGAAAGCAAAACGAACGGCTGTCAGCCTCGCAAAAAGCGGTTTGGGAAGGACGATGCTGTAATTTCCATCACGTAAGGGCAGAAGGGCATACTACGTCTACAACGCCATCGTGCCTTGCTTTCAATGTCTACGAGGAGCGAAATAAGAAATTTGCAGTTTTTTGAGTTTCTGGTAGCTCAATGGTTTGCGTTATACTAAGAGCAACTGAGTTGTGCACATAATCTTGAGCAACCTTTGGTGCAGGTCAGCTCAACACTATAGTTTAATCTAGGTCAGTACTACTATTCCCTCGCTTTCTTGCTAAGATATTCGGATTTCAACTGCACGTGACTCGCTTTCACTGTACTTTGAACTATTCATAACTAACCTGTACTCGCTCAGAAACTTTTTGAGGAAACCTATCCATGAGCTTATAAGGTTGCTGGCAAGTTGCTCTTTTTTCTAAGTACCTTTCACAACTCGTCAATCAACGCGATATCGCAAAGCAAAGCCGTAATAGTTACCCAACAAGCGAAAAAGGTCGTGGATTGAAGCTGTAGAATTCACGAGAAGAGAAATGATTCAAATACTCTACCTGTATGGAGACCAACGCGAATGTTAATTTTCTCGTTTGGTAGATGGGGAACACGAAATCCACGGATAGCTCTGACTAGTTCAAAGGACATTTCGGCGACATCCCTTGCATGTTCGTTACCATTTCGCTTTGGCAGACCAGAAACACAGAGATAGCCATCTCCTATCGTCTCCACCTATTACAAAAGATTGTTAGGTTGTGTTCCTACAAAAAACTCAGACTGTATGGCTCGAAATGAGCAGGCTGGTATGAAACCTTGTAGACGTCGTGTTCATCAATAATGGCATCGAATAGTGTGTAGAGATCGTTTAAAAGGTTGACCACCTGCAAGAATTTCTTCTTTCACCTTTCCAATAATAATCGGCTATTGCAGAAGATCGTATACATGTTAGATGCGTTTTATATAGTGATGTACACAATCACACACAACTACACAAGAACAATACAGGCCGGATCAAAATCATTGTTAAAAAACTTTGGCCGAGGGGTATTACACAATGAACATGATTCATTGTAGGTCCGATGTGTTCAAGCACTATAGACAAAAATTATGTGAAGAATCATTTCTGGCACTCACCTGTAATGGGGTACATCTACTTGCTAGAGTTGTGAAAGATACAACATCCGAAAAGAACAATGTTACGCAATCGAATGTTTCCGGTTCAACAGATTGCCCGAGCTTTAGCTTCTCGGCCACTTCTCTGGAAGAAGTCGCCTATACAAGGTGCCGCGAAGACAATGAAAAGTTGCTCTGTCTAACCAGAAGCTGAAGTTCGACTTCAAGCATTCACTGTTTGTGCGATTTCTGGAGTTGCAGGGTCAATGAAATGAATTCGTATTGCCTCTTTCTACAGACGGTCGTGTGAAAAAGGACTCCTTCAGCAGGAGCTAGAGCTGGTATGGTTGACAATTCCTCATCTGGTTCCATCAGTGAATGAGCTCAGGGACAATGTGAAAGTAGTGCAAATGCATAGAAATTAAGTTAGGAAGACGGGCAAAGTTATCCAGACCGTTCACAAAAATACATTCCATACTCGGTTTTTATTTTGTGAACAGTCTACTGAGGAGGTTTGCTTGGACTGCCGCCGTTATACGGCTTGCTCTGGCGGAAGGTCCGACGGGTGGATAGTTAGTAAACAAAGAAAACCAGGAACTGGTGCTGCAAATGAATGCCCACACTTTATTACTTGTAGTTGTATCAAAGGTTGAAGGAGTGAATTATCGCATATGCTTAGAAGTTCTCAAAAGATACTAGGTGATTGCGCACTTTGACTCCACTATTACGTCGATACACTAATACGTACACGAGCATGCAAAAGTCTTTGGCCAAAAGCTTCTTCAGTCGTGATTTTCAGTCGTGACCCCTTTCCTACCTGACCTAATCATGCGAAATTACAATAGATGAAGCATGGGTGTATTGTGAATATTTAGACTATTAGCCTACAATCTGAACATGCTCCACATATCCCTAAAAGCTTAAACTCAAAATCAACTGGAAATACGGGTGATGGTCCTACCGGGATTTCTTTCCTTTTCGGCATGTCTGAAGTGTACGAGCGATAATGCGAATACAGTGAAGGAGAAAGACGCACATAAGGTACGAATAATTGCAAACATGGCCAGTTTCACTTCCGTGAAGTCCACCACCGCCAAAAGACCTTGCTTTAGTTATGTGAATATTGATGCTTTGCAGTCATGTAGTGTTGTATAGTGCGAAATATGCTTTGGTCAAACATATCGAAGGTTCGCGCGATTTGCTTCACTAAGAAAAAGTTACGGCCGATTGCCGTTTGACCGGGGACTTTTGAGCGCAACTGTAAGTATGCACTTTTGGAATGCGTGTTGGATTTCTTGCTCATCTTCCTCAATTGTATTTTTTGTACAAGAATTTTAGTGCAAAATGCAGCTACGTCAGCGAATCATAAAGAACACTTCTTCGTGGTAAGCACCTGAGGATTAGTCAGGCCAGGGTACGCAAAAAAAACGAAGATCCGATAAAATAAAAGTAATTATCTGTAAAACATACTTCGGTAACATCCTATACAGGAGAATGTCACTTTTTTTCTTCTCCTCTGTCAGTTCTTGCATTCTTGCTTGAACCTGTAAAGGTCGTCGCCTTGTCGAACTTGAGGAAGGAAGTTCAGATATCTAGGATTACCTCCTCTTCTAGATTGGACGCGTACTGTTCAAGAACATTAAAGACATGATCCATCAGATTGGAAGATCTAAATGGTCATGGTAAATATTGTTATTGATGGTTCTACAAACGGTATATTTACATTCCGAATTCCTTCGATTAAAGAGTTCGGCTTTTGGTTTGGTGTCTCATTCGACAATTCTAGGGCTTTGCAAATTGCGATTGAGTGTTCATACGCGACACTGTACTCGGAGTAATTTTGAGTAAAATAAAATCGTTGTGTTCCATGACCGATTTTCAATTTATCTCGGCATGATACAAGGCCAAATTATGGTAAGTTGACTTAGCGTCCGAGATGCTAAAATTACTTTAATTTCATTCACAGCCTTGCCCAGAGCCTGCAAGTCGAAAATCGTAATTCCAAGGTTACCTTTCCAAATTACAAGAAAAGACGAAGCTGGCTCTAATCCAGTGGAGCTGTTTTGTCGGCACTCTGGGCCCAAAGTTCATTACAGCGTTTTTCATATGTGCTGGAACCCAGAGATCGGGTCAGAGTTTGTTCCAAGGGACTTTGCAGGATAGTAACTATAAATGAGGTCATCTGAAGTCATATCCGTGCTGCTGACCGCTCATTGCCCTTGATATCGATTTGTTGGTAAGTTTGAGTGTTCTCATCAATCACCTCTGCACCGGCGCCTGGGGATGGATTGTGTAGATTAAAACCACACGAACGAGTCTGTGAATGGTATGGGCTCATTGATAATCGCCACGCATTCGTCCTCTCTGTTGATTTTTGGGTTCTTTGCCATAGTGCTACCATGGTCTTGCGCGCTGAGTTTTCATTTTCACGAGGCAGTATCGCGACAGAGACCGTCACACTTTCGTTTTCATGGTACTGTGTCTTGTGATCACCCAAAGTGAAGGATTTTTCAGACTTTTTTTAACCCATCCCAATGCTCTTTTATCCTGGTGCAGAGAGCTTCCTGGAGACAGACGCGAATGGCAGCGCTAATATCATCTGAAATGAAAGGTACACAAAAAGGTGCCTTCATTTGCTCTTCCTATTGCGTGTCCATTCTCCTGTGCAATACGATGGATCGGTTCCATGAAAAGCGCCTTCAGACGTAAATGCGGAAGCAGTTTCAAACATGATATTGACTGTAGCAGTTTTCGTCTTCAATGCGCTGAAATGCAGTAGACGAGGATGTTCTTACTGGTAGGCTTCCGATACCTCTTCGTTTTTTGGATATCATGCGAGAGTTCAATCTGAAAAGGCTATACAAATTCAGACTTGCATGGTGCTCAAACAGGATTCCCAGCCCTGCTTGTATTGCACTTTCCCTTGACTCGGTTGTGTATAATGAAGACAAGTCAAAGGTGTCTGGTTAAAATACCTGGATACTAGCTAATAGACAGGGGTGACTGGCAGAAATACCCAAACTCACTAATAAATTGATATCAAGGGCGATGCACGACCAGCAGAAGGAACTAGACCTCAAATGAAATCATTTACTAATTTCCATCCTGGAGTCTTTTGGAGCAATCTCTGACCCAACCTGTGGGTCCCAGCACATATAAAAACGCTGTGAGAACCGGGGGCTCAGGGTGCCGACAAACAGCTCCACTCGATTGGAGGTCAACTTCATCACTTTTGCTTTTGCTTCCCTCAGAATGTCCTTTTGTAAAGTGAAAAGGTAACCTAGGAATCACGAATTTACGGGCTCCGAAAGAAGGCGAATCCGACGAAACGTAAGTTGTGACTAAAAGGTTTTAACAATCTCGGAGGCTACGTCAACTAACGGGCTAAGTCAACTTTAGTTAATTATCGTAAATATTTACGAAATGACTGGAGGAAAGTTTGTCACAGTCTGATACACGTACCGTCGACATTTACCTGAATAGGTGCTTATTTTTGTGCCCTTATCAAGAAAAAAGCTTCTTCACTTTAGAGCTAATTCCACACCGGCGGAGGGTCTGCTGTCCATGTCATCGCCTTCACTTCCTTTCATCTACGGTATTTTGCCGTGCCGTTTCCTCAGTTCCGGCGAACCCTCCTTGAACACGTCTCACCACATCATCCTTGGGATTCCCAGTATACATCTCCTTTGTGTTTCCATTTCCAACGCCTCTTTTACCGGACGAACCTGTAGCCTTTCCACTACGTGCCCACACCACTGCAAGCGCTGCTCTCTCACTGTTCTGAATTTTTGTTTCTAATCGGATCTAACTCGCATCCATTCATTCATCCTCACAATCCTTATTTATGCTGAGTGGAGTTGCTTTGCATGATTTTTGCCTTTCGCCGCACCACCGGACCCTTTCATCCGTGCCGCGTTTACTGCTCTCTCTGTTCTTCGTCATAAGCCATCCATCAGCGCAAAATATGCCATAGAAATTCATGCGCTTCTTCCTATATAATTTAGAAAGATGAAAGGGCACTCTATCAAAAAGAGGCATTTGGCAAATAATCACCAACTCCCAAGCCATGTTCAACTCTTCATGACGACGTTCTATCAAGTGTTAAGTACTGAAAAAATATTTCACCTGGCAATCCTGAATGAAGGAATGATGTTATTCTAATGGAATGATTTACGAACATAGAAACCAGGGATTGTTTAGTGTCTTTGACTTATTATCAAAAAAATTACTCTCGATTGATGACGCCGCTCCTTTAGTTTTGTATAGATATAATAGGCCCCTAACAAGGAAGGTCTTTCAGGGCGTGGGACGCTTTCTGAAAATGGTTTTTAGCATGGTGTAGGGGCATGAGCACTGAGTATATAACTATGTTCCATTCCCTCTAAATGGCCTTCTAAATGCCAAAAAAGGAGTGAAAAAGATTTTGCCAGAAATTGCCGTTTTAACCCACTAAGCGTCGTTCGTTTCAGTCATGGCGTCGACTGTCCGCACAGTAGAAGGGGTCAGTGGAGGCGACATTGAAAATGATGTGAACGGTAGCTAAAAAAGGAACCCACATGTTGAAAAGTGCGGGGAAGTTTCATATAGGCTCTCCACGGTAGAGATGCCAGAGGCGACGGATGGTGTGCTGGATAGCGATGTGGACTTGGAGGACGGACAACTAGTGTGGGTTGATGGTTTGGATTTCTGAGGCTTTGCCGTTTTGCATTTTATGCTGCCACCTCCAGATTGGCTCCATATTGCACCAGGGCCAAACTGGTCATCGTCGTGACCGGGACCAGTCAGGCACATAACCTCTACAAGTCGTTAGAATTTGATGTGTGAAGCACTATCAGTGGAGGAGCTCCAGGCTTCACAC